GCCTCTGCTGCTGCTGGCATTACGCTTGGCGCTGCGGATGCTGCCACCACTACTGCAGCAACGGCTGCAGCAGCAGCAGCAGCAGCAGCAGCAGAAGGGAGGGAATGCTGTCTTAAGGATTGCTCGCCAATTGCTGATAAACATTTTCATGCTCTTGACCTCATAGCAGCAGCAGCAGCTGCTGCTGCTGCTGCTGCTGCTGCTGCAGCGGGAGTTCCCTGTCTTACAAAATGCACGAGCAGCAGCAGCAGCAGCAGCTAGTGCTGCTGCTAGCAACTGATCTGCTGCTGCTGCTGCCGACCAAAAAGGCGTACAGTTCGCCAACCGCTGCTTCCTCAGCAAGCCTTAGCTAGCTAGCTAGCTAGCTAAATAGTTAGCTAGCTATACAAATGGCTAGCTGAACAGCTAGCTAGCTAGCTAGCTAGCTAGCTAGCTAGCCAGCTGGCTAGCTAGCGTAGGGAGGGCAATGCAGCCTGCAGGGGCAGCCCATAGAGATGTGTTCAGGTGTTGACGCAGTTAGCTAGCTAGCCAGCTAGCTAGCTAGCTAGCTAACTAGCCAGTTAGTCAGCTAGCTAAGTAGCTACAAACAGCTAGCTAGCCAGCTAGCTAGCCGACTCAGCTAGCTAGCTAGCTAGCCAACTAGCTAGACAACTCGCTAGCTAGCTGAATAGGCAACTGGCTAGCTAGCTAGCTAGCTAGCTAACCTATATGTCCACTAGGCTAGCCAACTCGCTAGCTCGCTATAGTGGAGGAAAGGATGGTGCCCTGCCTGCTGCACTTGCTGCATTGGTGCTCCTGTTGCTGTTGCTGCTGCTGCAGCAACAGCTGCTGCAGCAACAGCTACGAGCGCCACGGTGCGGTGCTCTCTGGGTTTTGTTGCCCACCCATGCGGCCGTGCTGCTGCTGCTGCTGCTGCTGCATGCGGTGATGTTTACCGCGGTAGTCAGGGGGTCTCCTGCGGTGCTGCTGCTGCAGCGGGAGGTGGTGGTGCTGCTGCTGCAGCGGATGGTGGTGCTGCTGCTGCAGCGGCACAGGGGCAGGAGGCAGCAGCAGACCAGGGAGAGGAGGAGGGGGGAATCCATGTAAGAAAAGGGGAGGCGGTGGTTGCTGCAGCAGCATTTGCTGCATCTGCTGCTGCTGATGTGGCGGTGGTGGCTGCAGCTGCTGCTGCTGTGGGTGCAGCAAAGCAGGATGACCCATTTGCTGCTGCTGCAGCAAGGCATGACTTAGTTGCTGCTGGTCATGATACAGCGGCGGCTGCGCACTACCTGGAGGTGCTGCTGCTGCTGCTGACGCTGCTGCTGCAGGTATACTACTGCATGCTGCTGTCTGTGGGGTAATGCTATCCCTGCTGTCTACTGGGGATCCAGCAGCAGCAGGAACAGCAGAAGCAGCAACAGGTGCAGCAGGAGCAGCAGCAATAGGTGCAGCAGCAGCAGCAGCAACGGCAGCAGCAGGTGGCTCCTTCTCTATAGGAAGTATTATACGCATGCATGCACCATTAAATGGAGGGACAGCAGCATAAACCCTAGTAGGGGCAGGCAGCCTCTCGGGTATACCTGCTGCTGCTGCTGCTGCTGCTGCTGGCAGCCGCAGCACATTCTCCAACTTCAACAATGAAGACACAATACCTGCAGCAGCAGCAGCAGCAGCAACAGCAGCAAATGCAGCTTCAGCAGCACACTCCGCTTCTCGCTACACGACGCAAGCAGCAGCAGCAACAGCAGCAGCAGCAGCAGCAACAGCAGCAAACGGCTTACGTGTTGGGGGTACGAAAGGACCTGCGGGTTGTGGCTCCCACCACAGCGCCCTTGCCCTCTGCACAGACAACAGACAACGAGGGTTTAGGGTTTAGGGTTTGGACAATATATTTTATATATTTAAGGAGGGTTTAGGGTTTGGATGATATATTAAATTAGGGTTTAGGGTTTAGGGTTTGGAGGACATCGTAGAGAAGGGTTTAGTGTTGAGGGTTTAGGTTTTGGAGGATATATTAAACGAGGGTTTAGTGATTAGGGTTTAGGGTTTGGACGACAACTAGGGTTTAGGGTTTAGGGTTTAGGGTTTAGACTAGGGTTTACTTACTGGGGTTTCATTAGCTTCGTGTCTCTTACGACGGATAGCAAAGCTGTCTCCTCCATCTGCTGCTGCTGCTGCTGCTGATTCTCCTGCTGCTGCTCCTGCTGCTGCTGCTGCACGGAGACCATCACTGCCGCAGTGCTGCGCTTCCTGCAGCAATAACAGCAGCAACAGCAACAGAAAGACACGCATGAGGGTTTAGGGTTTTGTCCTCTAATACTACAAACCCTAAAAAAGGGTTTGTAGTCTATGCTGCATATGCGAGCTAGGGTTTAGGGTTTATGAGGGTTTAATCGAATGCTGCAGTAACGATGCTGCTAGCTAGGGTTTAGGGTTTATTAGGGTTTAATAGAATGGCGGTGATAGAAGGGTCTTCTTCCCCTATCTAGGGTTTAGGGTTTAGGGTTTAGGGTTTACTCGT